AGAAAAAAGTGATGAACTATAGAAATCAAGTATATATTAAATATTTTTATATTTCGATTACATATTTATGGTGCAAAAATCGATACGAAACTTTAAGAAATAATTTTAAAATTTAAATTGAACGGCATTTTTCTCAGTGCACACCCCTTCTCTTCCCTATAGACTCATCTGTCAACGTCTGTTAGTTGAAGAGAGGGGGATGCAGCAGAACGGGGTAGCGGTGATCACTCCATAAGCACATGACCTGCAAAAACGGCGCAAAAAGGCGAACAAGTTCTAACCGTTTATGGCCAATGGATTTGGATTTCCATCTGCCTTTGTTTATCTCGTTCAACCTAGCAAGAGGAAGAGAGTTGGCAGCATCAGCCTTGATCGCTCTCTATACATCTCTCTCTCTCTCTCTCTCTTTTAATCGCCCACACATTTCTCTCTTTTTGCACGTGAGTCGCTCGAAGTGCATTTAATCGCCTTTAATTAAATGCAGCACTCTCACTTGCTCAATTTCTCTTTCTTTTTCCGCTTGTCTCTCCCGGGTTCAAAGTCCAAAAGTCGGCTCTCCACTGACGTCATGAGCTTCAGTTTCAATTACAGTTACAGTTTCGGTTTCGGCTGGCCATTAAACTAAGCAAATACAAAGCACAGGAAAAAAACAAAACACACAGCGATCGTTGGTACATATACATACATACATACACATAATAAACAACGGAGAGCAGGAGAAAAAAAACAGCAACAAAAGCACACAGCAACCAAGCAACACTCACTAGGCGAGTGCCAGTCCAAAGTCCAATTGGCATTTCGAAGACTCGGGTCCAAAGTCCAATGCAGTCGGGTTTTCTGCTCCCAGCCAGTCATAGTACCCCCCTTACCCCACCACATCTCTTACCCCCCACGAAGAGGAACCACCTTCCCTCTCCACGCGTTTACAATTGTTGTCTGTACCGACACAAAAAAGAGAGCTAGTCGTACTCTTTGGTCTCTCACCATCTGCCTTTTACATTTTTTCATCGCAGCTCCACTTTGTTTACCTTTGCCGAAATGCCTCTCTTAACAGCGAGCTTCTCTTAGGGCTCTTAAGAAAATGTAAGTGTAGAAAACAGGTGTAGATTGATTTTACACGTGCTAATTAAAAAATGCTAATATAACCCAGAAAGCCAAATGATGGCTTTTATCTGATTTTTGGGTTTTAGATCATTTACTTTTGCCAATAATAGAGAAGCTTTTTATGGGTGAGAGCCAATAATATTATTTAATAGTTTGAGAGAAATGAACAGTGATATTTTTGACTACTTAAATCTTTAATAACTGGTTTGTTTGCCAAAGGTAAATACAAGCCCAGAAGATGTGTTGGAACTTAAGTGTACGGTTTTACGATTTCTAATAAAAGCCAGCCAAACTTACAAGTAATAAATAAATGCATTACCCCTGAAATTTTAGTATGACTAACTATAAATAGGCTCAATGAAATTTCAGTTTACCCGTTCAATTTGCTAAGGTGGAGCTATAAAGGCTATCTCAAGACTCTTAATAAAAAATGAAAAACAACAGCACGTGCTCGTGTTCAGATATATATATATATACAGATTTTTACGAGCTATAGTAAAACGCCAAAAATAATGAAAATTATATGTCACTCCTGATATTACGAAACCCATTTAGGCGTATAATCAAGAAGTTATCACCATTTTCCTTGCCAATTTGCTTGGGAATTACAAAAGTTTCGGTTATGTCAGATTTAGTGGAGCTTGAGTTCCCGGCTTATTTTGTTTGTTATTTTTGTTATTGTTGTCTTCGGACATTGTTGCGTTGATATAAAAAATTAAGTTCACGTTTCGCTTTTAGCAGGCAACGGCGATTCGCTTTCGTGTTTTATTTAATTTTAGCGAAATCCACAAAAGTGGACTTTGCACTTGACAGCGGCGACGATTTTCTGTATTTTGTGTATTTATTTTGTTGTTTCTGCGGTGAATGAATGTTCATACAGCTTATTTTTGTTTTTTCCGCCTGTTGCCACGTTTTGCTCTCCAACCCGAAATAAATCGACAAAAATCTAGAGAAGCATACATATATCCATGGGAGAACTTGCTGAGCCGAAGCTGCTGCCTAATTGATATAAAATGTTTAAATTATTTTGCATGGCATTTAAAGTTTGGCGGCGAGTGGTAGGAATATTGTGGGTTGGAAATATTATTTAATAATTTAAAAGAATATTTTGTAACTTTTGGCATACTTTTAATGCTCCACAAAGATTAATTAAACTATAAACTGCTTTAAAATATTCGCTTAAAATTGTTTATAAATGAAATTTTGTTTATTTATTGCGGACATTTGTTATGGGAAACTTTATGCGTTCGTTAACCCTGAAATGTTTTGAAAATTTCCAAAATATTTCTACGTTTCGAATTCAGTTCATTACGAAATGTAATGAGTTGGGCAAAATGGCATTGGATTACGCCAGATTTATGCGCCATCTGGCATTTAATTTTCCATTTCCCATTTCCATCTGCCCATTTGATTTCCTAAATCTAAATTCTGTTAAACATTCCGCTGGCGGCGAATGCGTAGTAGTATGGGATTTCAGCTATTACGCCGGGAAAAGCTCTCGAGAGGCTTCATTAGATTCGCTCTCTCCCCGGCTGTCAACGGCAACCCACGACATCGCCATCGCCATCGCCGTCGCCATCCCAAGCTCAAGAACCAACCAACCACTCCCCCACTGGGGAGATGAATCCGAGGGCCAAGGCTTCCAGCGTCACCAAATGCTGAACATCAAATTCTCTGTCGGCTGTCTAACAACCGTTGCTAAGCTGCCACGCCCCTGCAGCAGCCCCCGTTCAGATTCGAGTGGCATGTAAATTGATCTGCGTACTTGATTAATTAATTGCGTTCGACTTGAAGCGGCTCGAAAACTGCAAACCGCAACTGCCGACAGCATCTGTCGTCTTAATTAGTCCAACAACGTGTTCTTCTCCGCTCTTCGAGTGGATTCGTTCTGCGATTCCCAATCCCATTTCATTGGCCTGTCCTTTGTTCAAGGTGAAAGGATTGGTTGAGTGCGTTTCCGTCTGAGGTTTTCCCAGCAATTCTGTTCATCTCATAACCAAGGCAACAATTCTGGCCTTAAATACACAAAGGAATGAGTAATTAGTTTTTGAGGTTTGTACTAAGCAAGTTGCATACTGTGTTGATGTGTTTTTAAGACATTTTTGGAGCAAAATAATAGGTTTCTTAATAATATCAAACTTTTATTTGAAACATCCTTTTCTATTAAAATGTTTGTTAAAGTTAATAGTTTTATGACCACAAAGAAGTACAAAAATTACAAAATTTTAAACTCTACAAAATTCTCCATACTTAGCTTAAAAACAGTTAAGAATTTCCCTGAATTATTCCAATTACGTTTATGTAAATCTTAAATTTAACACGAATTTATGTTAACTACAAGCTAGACACCAATTTATAAACACCAAAAAGTAGGCAATAAAATGATTAACTCTCTACTATATACCATCTTAAGCTCGAAAATTATTCCATGAATTATGCAAATTGTGTTTAAAGTTTAAACCCAAAATTGAACACAAAACAAGCCCATTTACAAGCATTAATAGACATCAAGCTTACAGGGCTAAGTGAAACAGAAAACGGAAACTAGAACAAATTGTCTCAAATTTCACTTTAATGGCTAATAATTCCACTCATAAATTTAAACACCACCCCTCTAGCCCTCCACCCACCGCAACTCATCTATTACAGGAAAAACCGTGCGTTTTTCTTGCGGTTTCGCCTAATTGGAAATGGGGGAAAAAAAAGTGCGAAGGCGTTGATGCGTGAGCAACTTGTTGCCATGGCTAACCCAGACACTCGGAACTGCGTATATCTCATTATGCAAAGTGCTGCTGCGGGGTAGGGGATATATATGTACAAGTATATATATATATTCCGTCGGGGAATGGGAGTATTTAAAGGTGGGCCCCGAGGCTCGACGAGGCTCTCCTTGTATTTTGTTTTGACGTTTTGAAATTTCATTTTGGCCGCAGCCAATGCAACTTGCCTTTGGGGGATTGCCTGGGAAAGTGGGTAAAAGTCCAGGAAGACGGGTAGGGGTGGTGTTTTGCCTTGTTAAAGCCAAACCAACCGACAGACAGCATCATCATCATCATCATCACCAGCATTATGAACCATATAAGGATGTTGTTTGGCACACGAGATGCTGCTGCCAGCATTTGAACTCGTCCCATTCGAAATGATGACACGCTCGTTGCATAAGCAAATATTTCTGAAAACCACAGCATCAGTACCAGTTTCCCAGTTACACAGTTCTCTAGTAAAACACCCTACTTGCCACCACCCACTTTTCACTCGCATTTCCCAATCCATCCGCTTGCCAGTGGCAGTTGTTGCTGCTGATGTTGCTGCCACTGCGGATGTTGCCGCTGTCATGGCAAAATGTTGGTAGATAGTCATGCCGCACAGGACATGCTTTTGGCCGCTTTCACTAACGGCCCAGGCCGCATGGCGATGACAGGCTCTGTCAAGCTGAATTGATAAGTCGCTGATCCAGAATAGATTGGAAAACATTTAGATTCAACTTTAATTCGACGCTGCTAGACAAAGGCCTTTCATCTAAGCTAAGAGAAAAGATTGAGGAAGGTTAGGTTTCACTTTAATTTTCATAGACCAGATCTGCTTCAGGCAATATGACAAAGTATTGCCAGGGTTCCACCACCACTTCAGTTAGAACGACTTTGAAGCTTATGTTCAGGCTAATTGGTTTGTCAGACCTGAATTGGACGCTCATTTCGGCCTTGACGCAGATCGTCATATTGTTATTCTTGGCATTGGTTACTAACAAACATATTCCTTTTTCAACTAAGATTTTTTAATTATCGATATTCGCAATATTAATATTGAGTATTAAACGAGATCAAATTGCCCTTGGAAACGCCCAAGGATTCGCAGCATGACTTGAAAACTAAACTTAATTCCTAATCCTATTCCAGGTCTGTCGCGCCTTGAACATCATCTGCGAGATGGAGTACTTCGGCCTGGAGCACTGGACGCCCAACCAGAAAGAGTCGCAGACGCGTCAGTGGATCAACCTGCGCAACCGGCTGTCCGGCGATAGCGGAAGCAGCAGCGGTGGCATCCAGTTGATGCTGGCCCTGAGGGTCAAGTTCTGGGTGCCAGTGCACTACATCCTGCAGGAGAGTGTGAGGAATCTGTTCTACATGCAGGCCAGGAGGGATCTTCTGGAGGGTCGGCTAACTGCGCCGGATTGGTGTGAAGCGGCCAAGTTGGCGGCTCTACTGTGCCAGGCGGATGGACTGCGGTTCAATGAGTCATCTCTAAGGGCCGACTGTCCCATGAGGATGAGGCGGGAGCTGGCCCAGCAGCAGCAGCAACAACAACAGGCCCAACAGCAGCGCTTGGAGCAGCAGCGCAAGGAGAAGGAGCATGTCCTCAGTTTCAAGAAGCGTCGTCTGTCCAAGCAAAAGTCCATGGAGCACATCGAAATTTGCACGCTACCCACGACACAAACCACAAGTTGCAGCCTCCAGCCATCGCCATCTGCTTCCGCATCCGCTTCAGCATCCGCCTCCGCGTCGACATCCGCCTGCTCGCAAACCCACTCGAACAGCAGCTCCAGCAGTCCCAGCAATAGCAGCAGTCAAACGGGATTGGACGAACGGCTGGCCAGCAATCCACTTCGCATGTACGAGGAGTACTTGATCCAACCCAGCTCCGAGGGCGAACCACCGGCGGACTATCTCCGCCAAATAGCCGTGGAGCACGGCAAGCTGGCCAAGTTGCAAATGAGCCTCAAGTCGGCCAAGTACTGGCTACTGCAGTCCATCCAGGATCTCGATGGTTATGGCGAGGAGCTGTTCAGCGGAGTCACCACCAATGAGAGTGCCACTCGTTGTGATATAGCAGTGGGCGCACATGGCATCACCGTCTGCCGAGGGGGTGAGAAACAGAGGTGAGTTTACGAGGAATCTCTAGGCTCAGCATCCTTGACTCGAATTTACCATAAGAAACTGAAAACAATTCGTTTTTACCAATATAAATGAAAGCCTTGAATATTAAACAAATTTTGGAATATAGATTATAAAATAAATCACGCTTTCTTAAGTATTTATTGTCTTTGCTAATGAGGTTTGAGATCCTAAAAACTAGACTTTCAGCTTACCCCTTTGTTTTTTCTTTCTTTTTTCTAAAACCAAAAAGATGACTTATCTTTAATGTATTTATAAAACAAAAGTCAAGGTGAAGCCGCGAAAACAATTTGAACACCAAAAGTTGCTCAAAACGAAAACAAGATTCTTATAAGTAGGTGGTGCATTAACCCGAATAATTAAAAGCCTTTTTTATAGTCATTTTTGAAAATTCAAACTTTTAGGGAGCGCAAAATTAGTGTCAGAGGTTAGATTTTTAATAGAACCCACTTTCTGCGTTATAAAACCTAATGATGATGCTTAATGATGGCTTCGAATGTGACTATAAACCCAGTTACTTGGATTTCAGTTACAAATTCCTAATTCCTTAAGCCTACTTTTAGGCTTCTTTAAGAGTTTTATCCAATCGCCGATTTGAGTATTGTAGAGATTTATGGAATTCGAGTTTAGAGGTCGTTTAAATTAGTTTTTGTTTTTTAATTTCTTAACTAATTTAATTTTATTTTAATTTTATTTAGCATCCCCTTTGGCGCCATTGCTGCAGCCAAGTCACTGCGTCGCACTTTCAAGTTGGAGTACGTGGACGACCACAACGATCGCAAGGAGCTGGAGATCAAGCTGCCCAAGCAGCCAATCGCCGCGGGATTATATCGCTCCATAACCGAGCGTCATGCATTCTATGTCTGCGACAAGGTGCGCGGAGTGGTGACCAACCAGTTCACCCGGGATCTCAAAGGAACCATTGCCTCCATGTTCATGGAGAACACAGAGCTGGGCAAGCGCTATGTCTTCGATATCCAGCATACGTGTCGCGAGGTTCATGACCAGGCGAGGAGGACACTCCATGAACGAGGTGGCGATCTGGTTGCAGAGGGGGCCGAAGGATGCTCTGCTGTTGCTGGAGGATTGGGCGCCACTGCTGGCGGCCATCCCTTGGATGCGGTGGCCGGAGTTAGCGGAATGTCGACTGGTGCCGGCGGCTCCATGGCCGGCAAGATAGATTTGGCCATACGCGAGAAGGAGGCGCGTGAGGCGGCGATTGAGCGCTGCGTGACCACGCGCATCTCGGAAGCCATGCAGTGCAAGATCTGCATGGACCGCGCCATCAACACAGTGTTCAATCCGTGCTGTCACGTCATCGCCTGTGCCCAGTGTGCTGCGAGGTAAGTTGTCTTTATGGGATGTTATAATCGAATCCGTATTAACTTTCTTAATCCTCCTTTACAGATGCAGCAACTGTCCCAATTGCCGGGTGAAGATAACCAGCGTGGTCAAAATCTATCTGCCGCCGGAGCTGCGCACCAGCCAAGACGGCAGCGGCGCCACAACCACCAGCAGCAGCAACATCAGTCAGGCGGAGGAGCAGCTGCAGCAACAGCTGGAAGAGATCTCAGCGGCACCTGCCACCCTAGAAGCGGGAGCAGGTGTTGGGGCAGGAGCAGGAGCAGGAGCAGGAGCAACCGGACCTGGCGGACAGCCGAAGGTGACGACGGCCGCCTAGAATTGGTTGTGCTCGCTGCTGTTCCGGCTGATGGAATGGGTGTGCGTGCCGATTGTCTGAGAACCAACATGATCCACTATTATTCTATGACCACAACAACCTAAATGGGAACAAACACCAACTAAGCATCATGCAACATGCAACGTGCAACATGTGTGGGTTTTGAAATGGATTAAAAACGAGTAGTCACAGTCTGTCAACAATCTTAGCTCTATCTTTACTCAAGTATTTTACCGACATAAGCAACTGAAACTTTAACTGTAACTCTAACTCTAATCTAGACCCTAGCAATATACACCACAGATATATATATATATAGTATATATATATATATATTTACTATTTATAGATGTACGATGATGACTTCGAGAAAGTGCTATTTAAACTCGTCTAAGACTTCACTGCATAGCCTATGCCTAAAATCTATAACTGCAGATTGTTTCATATTCATATACAACACTGTACTGTATACACATAGATATATATACATATATATATATTTACGATCGTTATAGATCAGCGATACCTTATACGATGTAGCCCTTGAATGTACAACATAGTTACTTACTAAATGTTAGCAATTTTACCAACTAAACTCGAGAATGTATTTATTAACGCCTAAAACTCTTTAGTATTCCAGCCCCAACCTAAACCTAAATCTAAAGCCCCCAATTCTCATATACCCGATAGATACATATATATAATTATACATATAAATCTATATATTAGTGTGTGTATATAGGACAAGCGTACAATAATCGCAAACCCAAGGAGCAAAGTAGTACTAAGTACCTGCAAAACAGAAACAGAAACGGAAACGGAAACAGAAACAGAAACAACACACGAAACACGAAAGTATCTCTGCAGTGGATATTACATAGTCAATAATAAATGTTAACAATGTTATACTATATATACATATATATATATATATATACATATAAAAGAAAACCAATGAAAAAACCTTAAATGTAACCCGTTATCTGTTGTTTTTATTTTTTGGAAAGTGCCATCTTTTGTTGAAAGCTTTAACCGGAAAATTTCTTTTCCTTTTGGACAACTCTCTTTGTTTTTTCTCATTTCCTTCCTCAGGCAATTATCATTTTGCGACTTCAAGACTTATTTTCTCCTCTTACTTTTCACCTCTACTCGTCCAAATATGAATTCGAAATAAAAGTTGTTTGTCAAAAAATATCATCATTTTCCTTGCATCCGAAATCATTAAAACCTCATCGTCTTTTCCTTTCATTTTCTTATTTATGGAAATGATTACTCTTTGGGTTAGTTAGGTCATGACTCTCATCCACAGAGAAGGTGTTGGAGAACGGATTTTGGAGAACTTTCACTTGGTTTCGCTACCTTTAAAAGTTTCTTTGAATATGTTTTATATTAGAAAATTAGAAGATTGGCTCGGAGGCTTGCATTTATCTCAAGGCGATCACAAATGGTTGTGTGATTTCTGGCGGGGATTCAGCGGCATTCAAGGGCAAAGCCAATTTTTCAGTCTTTGGATTCAGCTGCTCTGTAAGAAACTAGATGTAGTATCAACCCTTTAATGCATAAATGTTAGCAAGAATAAATGATATCTTTTCTTATCCAGCAAAAGGGGGATTATTAAAGATCACTAATGAGCTAATTTTAACAACGTTTTATTTGTTGTTTGAAATTGTCTTACCATTAAAAATTTAGTAAATAATGAATTCGTAGCCGTTTCTCTTTTAACCAAACATCATGCTAGCAATAGAAGACTCTCTATAATGTTATGTAAAATTCTACACGTTACCTAGAAACCATTTAACATTATTTTCTTAATAACTATTTAAATCTTGGTTAGACTTGAAAAGTGTTTGGTGGTTCGAAAGGTATTCCCAAGGGAAAAGGATTAAAATTTTAAAAATAATATCACCTTAAATTTAACATGTTAAACTTTTATAATAAGCTTGTCCTGCTCAGGCATCCCTATCTACATACTCTACATTTCCACGCTCGACCTTTTTATAGTTTCCAAAATCTCAGCAATCATACGATGGGACCATCGGACATGGCTAGTTCAACTCGGATATTGATTCTGATCAAGATTGTATATCCTTTAAAGAGTAAGAAAAGCTTTCTTCCACCACTTAAATACTTTTAAACAAATACATTTTACCCCCTTACTCTAAAAACGTAAAACTTTTTAATCATTTTCAACTAATTAATTTTTAACCAATTTTTTACTAATTTTTATGTCATAATTATTATCATAGTGGGTTAAAAATAAGAATACAACATCTAAATTGCAAGTCATACTTTAGATCTATCATGAACATCGGTAACATATTCTTTAAACATCGTTTTAGATTTCCTATATAAAAATATTTAAAACTTTTTTTTTCAAATACCAAACTTTTTCAAAAGTTCGCGCCAAGTCTAGTCTACAAACGCGTTAGCACCTAACTCAATTTGAGCAGCCAATGAGCCACAGCTGATGTGGTGCTTCTTCTTCTTATAACTTCAATAGTCACATGTTAAAATCCATCGATATGGCATCGCTGTCAGCCAGGTGGCAATTTCATAGGGGTGTGCACACACTGGCCGCCACTGCTGGTCGGTTCTTCTTCTTGCCACTACTGCAATTATATATCGCTGTTCCGTCGTCTCCGCCGATCCACCTCCGCGCTAAAATCGCTGCTAAAGCTCTCAACCCTCCGCGAATATTCCGTAAATATTGCAATTGCATGGTTAGAGCAAAAAATTACGCCAAAATAAAAAGGTTAAATAAAAAAACAAACGGGGAAAACACACACTGAGACACACACACGCACGCAAGCGAGCAGCTGACGCTGGCAGAGGCAGCGACTAAGCAGCAACAGCAGCAGCAGCAGCAACAAGCAACAAAAGCAAAAGGCAAACAATTGGATAAGCGCTATTAAGGTGTTAAAACCGCTGCTAACTTAACAGTCCAAGAGTTCAGCTTGAGAAGCTAACGGTTCCAAGGTCGCAATGCTAAAAACGGAAAAATAAAACCAATGAGATTTTAGCCGACTTAGTGTTGTTGTTGTGGTTGTTCTCGCTGCTGCAACTGTTGCAGTGCATGTGTGTTTGTCTGTATGCGTGTGTGATCGCGATCGTACGTCTCTGTCGCACTCCTTTCTTATAGGCGCCGCCGGTGAAATGGTGTCGCCTTTCGCTGCCGACGTCAACGTCACACGGTCGACGTCGCTGCCGACGTCAGCGCAGAGACCACCGCTGTGGCCCTGAAACGAAATTTGTTGTTCTTAATTTTGTAAAAATGTTTACAATGCGAACAATATACACTGGCAGAAACACAGAGTCAACAATACTCAAAACTAATGAAAGAATAATTATTTTCTATTGCTGGGAATACAAGGCTTATAACATATAAAATTAATACAAAATAAAAAAGTTAATAAAAGTTGGAAATATATTGCATAATATCGGAGTTATCCAATAGCCGAAAGTTTATAATACAATTATTTGCTCTTAAAAAAAATATATATATAAAAGCTGCAAATACAAAAATCACAAATAATACCTTTATCAATCAATAAAACCATTAATTTTCTGCTCTTAATATTTCAAATAAACTGAGCAAACCAGGAAAAGCACTGTGGAAAACAACAAGCCAATAACACACTTAATTATGTAAAACAAATAGCTTACTAAACCAGCTAAGAATACAATAATAAACAGATAATAATACGTTATGAATGAATTAAGCAAATAAATAGACACACTCGAAGCTAGCTTAAGCGGTTTCAAGTAGACTGTAAAAATCAAGGAAGAGTTACTAACTAAAAAGGTCAACAAGTGAACTAAATCAGAAGTTTAGATAAATCAAACAGGACGGAAGAAACTTAATAATTTATTTACTTAATTGGGTTTATTTATTTAATTGGGTTACTTCCAAAAAAGAAACTAACAATATATTTTTACATTTCGATAAAAACTCATAGAGAACATAAAAAAAAAAAAAATTTAAAGCCCCCTTAAAGTTGCCAGCTTTAACAAAATCATAAAATAACGAGTATAGAAACGGATGTATGTAGCTAAAATCATTTACAATTTTATGACTACAAATAACGAATAATAAAAATCTTTTTAAATCAGCTCAACGTATTAAAAAATGGATATCGTAAACGTTAAAAAAATAAAACAAATTGCTCAATTCTAAATTACAAAATCCAATGGTGGTCTTAATAGCTTCAAAAGCAAGTGAAAAAAGTGTTTTTAAATAAAGGAGAAAAGAAAAACAAAGAAAGCACAAAGGAAAGTCGAGAAAAGTGCCTGAAAACCAATGTGCGTTGCCCCGAAGTTAAATCCATTGAATCCCCTTATTCGGCTTTAATTCCTTGAAGCCCTTCTTCCGCCCGAGCCCACCTTTAATCAACACAATAATTCCCCAACAAAAACAAGCACATGAGTTGGATTAATAGGAGTCAACTGGAATAGGCCGAAGTACCCGGAGCACAGGTCAGTATCGAAACAATCAGGCCATATTAACGGCCATCAATCAGTTCAAAATATTAAAAAAACCGTTTGCCCAATTGAATGGTTCGCCTTGAATCGGTTGAAACTGGTTACCGGTTATTGGTTACCGGTTCGGTTCGCAAGTCGGCAAAAGACAAATTGAAAATTCAATTAATTTAAATCAATTTCAACTTGGCAGTTTGGTTTCATTCGGTTTCAATCACTTAAGTCCGCCTCAAACTTAACTATTTCATAAAAATGCTCTTAGAGATTGCGTAAGTCCAGGCGATTGATAAATGGCAAGAGCTATATATACACATAGCTATATCTAACTGAAGATTGAAGTGTTTCTAACTGGTATTGCTATATATACATAACTATATCTGAAGCATTTCTAACGGCGTAAAAGCAATATAAGTTATGGTTTGACAAAAGTCAAGTGATTGCTTATGGATGGAAATTAGCGTAAAGTGTAGGTGTTAGTTATGGAATTAAGGGGATCATTTAAATGAAAACAAAATGTTTTATTTTTATGTTTCATACTCAACGGTTAATGTTAGAATTTTAAATTAATTAACACAACATTTCTGCAGATCTAAAACCACATCAAAATATTTCAAAAGTATGCAACGATTTATTTAATTTTGAAAATCAAATACGAAAGGCGAATACCGCAGTTATAGATTCCTTGAATATTATTATACCAATTAACCCTAAAATAATGTTTTCAATTACCCAACCGATTGAACATCCACACATACGCACAATGTGTTTGTATACGAGTTTATAACCGTATTAATTTAAATCCGAAATTATTTTATTTCTGAAACAGACGAAATTAAATAATCATTAAAATGGTAATTTAATGAGGCTGGCTGCAGAAGGCGGAAAACAAAAACAAACGCCATGATAAATAAAACGAAAAACGAAATAAAAAGGATGATTTATACAATAATTAAATATGCATTTCATTCGTCGCACTCACTCACACACACACACACACGCACACCATATATCTGTTCTTTATTTGTCGCATTTGGTTTGAACTTTAAAGAGCGACTACGGTTATTAATTTAACCTTTTTATATATGGTTTCGTTTTTGTTCATCAGGTCCCAAAAACCTGAACACGCTGATGGCCTCCTCTCTCTGCAGATCCCTGATCCCCTTTTAGCTGTCCAGTTCGGTTTTTTTTTTGGGGCCCTTAATGGAAAAAATGTTGAGCGGTCTTTTTGTTTTGCCCCTCTTTCTCATATTCCCTTTAGTTTATACCCTACAAAGAAGGCACTACTATTTTGATGAAGGGTTTGTAATGCTGAGAAAACTATAAAAAACAAATGTAGGTATTGATATCTAAAGAACTTAATATTATTTTGGTTATAATCAAAACTACTTTTTAATTTTAATTTATTCATACGAGTTACTTTTCTACCTTTAAGAGAGGTTTTCCTTATTAAATGTTAATAATTAGAGCAACAAATTTCATAGTTTAATTAGTCAATAATATAATAATATAATAATAATAATATAAATATTTTTTAGATATCTTAAGCTAGTAAAATTATTACCCTTTTCATCGATAACCCCCCTTAGTTAGCTTAAAAGGGTATTCTATGTTCGGTGCCTCACTTACTCGACTTCATTCTCAGTTTTGATTGTTTTTGTGTCTGTTTGCGTTGCCTGGAGAAGGGGGAGTAGGGAGTTGGAAGGACTAAGAGGTATGTAGGGGTTAGCAAAATGGAATGGAGGGGGGATTGTAGAAGGGGGGACCGACGTCCTGCCATAAAATTGCATGTCCAAGTTGTTTTATTTGATTATGCGCGAGTGTGTGCGTGTGTACGGATTTTCGCTGTTTGTATATGTGTGTGTTGGTTTTTGTTTTTTTTGCAAGAGTTTATTGCGCGGAATGCTATTTAATAAATTCCATTTTCGACTTCCTCCTACCCCTCCCCTTGGCTATGTTTTTGTTGGTGCTCCATCTCGGCGAGGATTTATCTGTACATTCGGTTCTTGCTCTTGCTAGTGTAGTTTTGTTGCTTCCGCTTTCCATCTTGTTTGGCCAATGCAAATTTTAAAATTGAATTTCGCTCGCAACTTCAATTGCATCAAAAGGCCAGCCAAAAAGTTGGGTAAATATGAATTATGAACATCCGTAGAAATATGCACAACATCCTTTTTGGCTGGCTGCGAATGCATATTTCATTCCGAGATTTATTATTAAATTTCTTTCTCTTTCTCCCCTCCAAATGCAGTTGGTGTCCCGCGGCGTTTAGTTTTCCTTCTTTCCAAGAAAACTGGCACACCGAAATAAAAGAATAGAAAGAAAGCGCGACGAACAATAAAGACGGCAAAACTTAAGCACCTTAACTCACTTTTGCAAGTTCTCCAAATAAAAAAGAAATATCCCAAAAAATAAAAGAACTCAACATATAATCGAGCAGAGAGCGAAAGAAAAGAATTTCCAACTACGCTAAAAACTTTTCCGAACAACGCAACTTTTTCGCTTTACTTTTCTTTTTTTTTTTTTTTTTTGGTTTTGTCCTGAAAAGTTGCTCAATGCTCCTGCTCCCGTTTTGTTATTGTTATTGTATGCAACTTCCGCTACAGCTATAACTATAACTATAGAAAAGAAAAACAAAAAAACAGAGCCAAGAACATCGACGATAAGCGCGAGTTCAATGGTTAAAGCTAAGTTTTTTCCCCTTTTTTTGGTTGGAGGAAAACTTTAAACATTGGTTCGCTTGGTTTTCTATTTCACTTGTGCGGGTTATGCCACGCCCTCAAAAACAAAAACAAGGACATGAGAGCCATAAAAATGTTCCTGTGAGCTACTGGGAAGAAAAAACAAAAACTTTTCAAAAACAACTGCCAATAGGGGAGGGGCGAACAGGGACAGGTGGGCGGCAACAAAAGCAACAATGTTCAAGTGCAGGCAGAGGGAAAAACTCTGGAAAACATATATACAGTTGAGGTTAGTCAAGTAGAACCGGTCCGGGAATATTTTATAAATTATAAATTATAAATTAAACTAAACTAAACTGGCTTTTGGGAAAAGAAGAATTAATATTAGAAAATATTCCAAGTTTCTTAAAATTATATTGTCAAAAGGCTTACCACTTAAATAATATTTTGTATAAATAACTTAAGAATCAAAATGAAATTTTTTAAATTTTGTCGAAATTGTATAATTTTTTCACTCGTATAAAAATATTTTTAACTTAACTTTTAAATTTTTAATGTAATAAGAAGCAGAAGAAGAATTTTCACTTATTTTAAAAACAAAATTTACTTTCTTTTCACTTAATTTAACAAACTATTTTTACCACATCTGTACATCCAACCAACTGAAAATCTGAACAAAAAACAGCAAACAGCTCTTAAAAGCTGGGACCAGAAAAATAAGGGAAAAATACATAATATGAGCGCTGAAAACTGCATTTTCCCTCTGCAGCTGGCTGAAAAGCAAAAACAATTTCTGGCCCGTGCTTTAAAAACCGCCAACAGAAACAAAAATCAATAAAAATGCGCATAAATACATTATAAATAATTGCAATATGAAAAACTTCCTTTTTACATGCTTTTGTTTGAATTTCATACAACTTTATTATGGCCACTCGAAATTACGGCTGGAAAATTGCTTACATTTTTCGTAAATAAATAATGGAACGCTTAATTAGTTAAAGCAAAAAAATCAGATTGCATAATTTTGATTACAAAATGAAACTATTGCGAAATAGAAACTATATAATATGACTATTGTGTGTGATTTTAAGTTTCCATCATGATGAGAATCGCTAAACGAGGGCAACACCAAATTGTTTAGCGAGACCACGGTGAGGCAGCCTGATTTGGCACATATACTCGCACATACAGTATGTACTTGATAAAGCGAATTAGCACCATTTGGATCTGGTCCGTGTCATAAACAAATAGCCGATATATTTAGCCAGGCGTCCGACCGGATTTATCTGGTACTCCAAAGTGCGAAAAAAGAAGATTCGTACATCTGATTGCAAACTCGTGGGGCTTTCCTCTCCGCCGAGTTTTCTTTTCCGTTCCTCTCCTTATCAGCTTTGTATTCTGTTGATCTTTCGAGTGCCCGACTTGCGTCACATGTCTGAAATTGTTATACATATTTATTAATGAAAACAAATCAAATAAAACCACATCGACTCAGAAACAAGAAGCAACGTCCGACAAATCGTCGAATCACTTTAACATGCAAATCGTTTTTTGTTTTTTGATTTTTGTTTTTCCATCGCTATTTATTTATACTTCCCACATCGATGCCCACAGAGATCAGAGATCATGATCGCAGAGTGATGCAGGTTATCGCCGGACCCGTGCTGAAATAGGTTATCTCCACTGGCAATCGTTCGATTAACGAGCTTCGAAAAGTCTGTCAACTGGACTGGGAGGGCTGGTCCCAGAATACGAATCTTGGAAAATGTATTAAAAGTTTTTCTAATTAAGAATTAAGAAGAAATTGAAGGTCATCTAAAGTTTGTTCTTAGAACTTTTTGTTAGTAATATGACTAAGATTTTAAGATTGAAATTGAAGAGATTTATAACGAATTTTACTAACAATTTTATTCTAAATGAGATGACAGGGGCAGTTTGCGGTTTCTTAAGATTCTTTAAGTTTATGTTTAATTTTTTATATACTTAATACCTAAAATTTTCTAAATGTACCCTCATTTCTCCTTCTCTCTCTCCTTTCTCCAGCTGGACAGTAATATTATGGAAAAGGCGAAGGCATATATCAAAAATGAACTTCGCGGTGGCAGCCAGCAATCCGAGCCAGCAACCACGCCCACGCCGACCTCTCCGGCCTCGTTGCCCGGAACGCTGCAAGCAGCCAAACAGCCTTATCCGCCCGTGGAGCTGATGCCCTCACCAGGAGCTGCGGCACATCGGAGCACCCGAACACCCAACGAACAGTATCACTTGGGGTACCAGCCACATCCCGCCCAGCATTTCTATCCGGGGGCCAAGTCGACGGGAAGGGCATCGGCACCACCCGATAATCATCATGTGCCCATGACCATATGCTTTGTGTGCGGAGGACATGGAGGCTATGAACCCCAGCCCCTAAGGATTCGACACAATGCCGAGCGTCCTGCAGAGTCATATTTTCCCTTCCTCGAGCGCCATGAACCTCCGAATGGGGTGCCAGGGGTGGCACCTGGCCAGGAGTATGTGTGGGCCTGCATGCTCTGCTTTCGATCCCTGAACGAGCAATGGGATTCCTATGAACGGCAGAAGAAGCCCCTGCTGCAGCGCATCTACCATATGAAGCGCGTGGACGGAAAGGGGTATATCGGAGCCGATGTGGCCACCCAGAGCGAGTATGCCGCCCAGGTGTTGGGTCTGAGTGCCGAACACCTCACCCAGAATGGTCTGGTGGAGGGTCATGGAGATCCCTATGCCTTGGCACGGCATTACTCGCCGCAGCAGCAGTCACACCACCAGCTCCAACAGCACCACCACCACAGTACCTCAAGGAATGCCTCACCCTCGCCAAATCCCAGTGCTGCCGGTGGTGGTGGCGGTGGGGATTTTTATCCCAGGAACTCGACGCCGTCGAGCAACCACAACAGATACCTGAGCAGGCCACAGTCGCGGGATATGCCCGTGGCCTCGCCCACATCACGACCGCCCAGCGAACCGCCGGCCCTGAAATCCGCCGGCTATGCCCAGCAGAAGTTCAAGCTGAGCTCCGCACCTCCACCTAGTGGCTATCAGGCCCAGGCGCCGTATCATCCTGCCCAGTACCAGCAGTTGCAGCAGCAGACTGCTGCATACCACCTATTGCAGCAGGTCAACGCTGCCGGAGGAGCAGCCGAGTCGGTCCACTACAAAGGTAATCCCTACAGTGCGTTGCCCTCGCCTGGCAGTGGTCCATTGGGACCCCCGGCACCGTCCACGCTCGAAGATGACAATGCCACCGTTCTGGATTTACGGAACTCTTCGAGTTCCAGTGCTCCGCCGGCACCTCGTCACGGAACAAGCAATACTTCGGTCTCTCAGCCAAGTCAACCGCAATCGGAAGTGGGAATCCTGGACCTTTCCATGCCGGACAAGAACTCCATCACTGAGGTGTGCTACGTGTGCGGAGATGAGCAGCGCAGAGGCAGCCTGATTGAGCTGAGTACGGTAAAGCCACGGGAAACCGGAAGACCAGGACAATCTGTGGCATACTTTCCCCTGTTCAACGAACAGCATCCGCGTCCAGCACGTTCTCGTCCGAAGGATCCCCGCGGCATGATCCAGGCCTGTCTGCCCTGTTACGAGGACCTTATGCAGCAGTGGAACGCCCACCAGGTGAGTTTGCAATTCAAATTCCCATGTGCCTCATTGGCATACATGCATATGGAGCAGACTCATCCGGTATTGCCGGCGGTTTCTCAATTGATATCTCGTCCAAGAAATGGGGTCGAGGTGAAGTCTGGGGTTTATAGTGGAGTTAAGGGACTTACGGACCCTCATTCTGATGACTTTTTAAGTAAATTCTGCAAAGGAAAAAGTTTAATTTACCTCTCAGATACATCGATTGTTATCGATTCTTCGACAAAAACTTTACCTTTAACTATCATCTGAGTGTGTTTAGAACACAAAATTCAGTAACTTAAACGTATTTTCCTTTAACCTAATCCATTGGATTTCCTTTTAAGTTAACGCCCCGAAACGGTCATATGTACCGCCCATAAAATGTATGAATATGCAAATGGAAATGTTTATGGATGCTGGCAAATACATACCAGAGCTTTTCAAAATATTTTGTGAAAATTTCAATATTGCTCACTCTCGCATAAATAATGGAATTCAATAAAAGTGGTTGGGGTGGTGACAAGGGGGTGGCAGCACACGCTGGTTCGACCAAAAAAAAAAAAGGGAAGAGGAAATGCAAAACGAGAAATGGCAAAAACAAACATTGGCAACAAAATACAGAAAAAAAAAGAAGAAGGGAAACAAATTTACGAGAGCAGTTTTTCGCGTCGCACGAATCAAAATAAACAAAAATATGGCCACAGCATCCAGTGGGTAGGATGATGATGATGAGCATAACGATGATCATCATGATGTTGGCGCCATGGAGATTGACCCGGGCGTAAGGCTCTCCACTGTGCGAACGATTAATCAGTGGGGTCGACGTCGTCGTCGTCGTTGTCGTTGTCAGCTTCCACATACATACTCATACATACATATACTTTATAGTATATTCCCTCTTCTCCCTCTTGGCAGAGGGCATTATCTTTATCCTCCTTCGACTGCTTGGATCAAGGAGGGGTCACACGGGGGGAGACCTCGTAAAGGCGGCGAATGTTGTGGGAATTTTGACCGCAGGGTCGCTTGTGTTTCTGATTAAATTTTAATAGCTTTCCGCGATTATTTCGCTTCTTTCGTTTTGTTTCGCATTTTGCTTTTCTTTCTTTTTATTTTTCTTTTTACTTTTTTTTTTTTATTATTTTTTGTTTTTCGATTTTATTTCTGAATGCGAAAATGTATTTATAAATTTGAGACATCGCCCTGGTTTCGCTCATTGATAGTGCTTGTATGGCGGTGATGTGGTGGAGCAGGTCTTGGGGAGTAGGGCAGGGGAAGTAGCAGGTATCAGTAAGCCTCGTGTTCCTCGAATGATTCACTGTAGGTAGTCTGATTGTTATAGATTTTGATTAAAAATCTTATTAGGTAAACAGATGATGGATTTATGAAGGTTATTGTTAATATTTATACTGCAACATTTTAGAGTGATGAAATATGGAAAAAAGTATTAAAAAGTTTAACTAAAAGATATTTTAGTGGTGCTTATGAAAGCACATCTCCCTAAAAAGATACTTCAATAACAACTTGTATTATGAATACTTGAAAAACCTACAGAAAACATCGTAATTTTATATAATTTTGGGGCCAACACTTTTCCAAAAACACCCCTACCCATTCGCCTCCAACGCTTTCACACGCAACAAAGCCCACAAATGGAAATAAATTTGTAGAGTTTCAAACGCCCACCACCAACCAGCAGCCACCCATCGCCACCCACCGCAACCGCCTGCCCTCGGCACGAAACCAAAACAATTTGAATTTTAAATTCAGAGCAGAAATTTCCAACATGCTATAAAAATGCAAAATTCACAGCTGCTGAGGCGCTGCCGCAGTCGCTGCCACAGTCAGCGTCGCAGCCGGCTCTCGAAACTTGGGAATGCAATGTGTAAAATGCCGGATAAATAATTAAATGCCATTAATTGGAATTGTGTAAATTTCGCAGGAACGAAAGAAAAAAAAAACGGAAAGCCCAAACAAAAATAAACGGTAGGGAAAAAACTGAACTGCCCGCGAAATAATAAATAAATAAATAAAGACAAATAAAATGGCAAATGCTGCAATGCAGTTTGTCCAGTGGCCATCGAGCCTATTCAGGAAAATGCAGGATGAATAAATAATCATACTGGCGGGGGGGAAATCATGGTGTCGGCATGGGTTGGGCTAGGAGGAGTTGGAGTTGGGGCGGCGAGACAAATTAATTAAATTTAACCCAGTAAACCATGGAAATTCTCTTTTGGCCAGCTGCCAGAAAACCAAACCTAACCGAGCCTATAGAGGGTGTATCTCTTCCCTCCCCCACCTTGTTTTCCATTCAGCGAAAAGTGCGAAAAGCAATTTAAATATTTATGCTCAACATTTTATTTAAAGCAAACCGAGTGAAACCAAACAAAATCAAATAATAAAAAAAGTGAGAAAATTTAAATCGATCCGTTGGTCTGGCCCGCCGCCAGAACCGAAATAAACGAAACACAAACTATATCTAGATTTGTTATAAACAATTGTATAAACAAAACGTTTTTAGATACCCTCTAAAAGCAGAAAAAGTGTGGCATCTTATGCTATTACTTTAGGATTTGTTATAGAAAAACTCTTAGACTTTAAAATAGTTTAAATACAAAAGTTCCCTCCCCTTTTCATTCATTAAAAATCATATTCCTTAACTAGTTAGCTCTACATAAAAGTGCTGATCAACCCAACTGGCTTGTCTAAAAATAACCATAATTATAAATCAATTTTATGCTCACCCTGGCCTTATAAAATTCTCTATAAAAGTTTCAAGTTCCTGTGAATGCCATTAACAAATTTCAAAATCGCAAGCCAAAAATTCCCGAAAACCTTTGATTAATTGTTGTTTAAACATTGCATAAATTTATGAGCTTGTGAATGGATGGAAAAAAGTAGAACAATACAGTGAAAGAGAACAGATTATGAGATTGACAACAATGACCTGCGGTATTCCCTGGGCTACCAAGAATTTCCTGGCAGGCTGCCCAAAAGCCAATAAAAGAAACGCAAACACGACCCAGACACTAGATCCGGATGAAACTGGCTGAGAAATCAATTCCAACCGAGAAAAAATGTTGCCATCATAAAAACGGAAATAAAATTCAGGAGAATAAATTAAGGAAATTACTTTTGATGTGGAAAAATGGGAAGAGTTGTATTCCGTTTATGGGTTCATCTCCATCCGAGATATATTTTATATCAAATCTATTGAACTTTTTAGTCAACTTTTATTGACATAACCCCTGACATACCCCAAGATTTTGTTACATTTTCACTTTCTTTACAATTTTATTGGAGATTTACCTATTAAGTATATGCATTTTAAAGCTAATAAATTCACAAGTATCTATTTTCCTTTAGAAGCTATAAGTGAAAATACAAAAGGCAAGATTACATTGATGGAAGAAAAGAAAATATTGAACTTGTTGCTTGATTAATTGCTAAATTAAGACACTTTTTAAGGCTTGATTAATTTCCCAAGACATACATTAAAGTTACAGTTAAATTTCCTCAGTAAAGACTCTCTCTGGTATAGAAACTATCCCAGACAACGAACTGTTTGCTCTCTGGCAACGGGATGAACTCCAAGCCATCGGCAATGTTAAGGCAGTTTTCCAGGCCACCTGGACGCAGTGGATCCCACTTCACCGGAGCTATAGTCTCGCAATTGGGGTCTCCGGTGATGGCAAAGGACGTCCACATGGCAACCAAGCGTTCAATGGTCTTGTATTCCGGAGTGGCCTTATCCAATTTACTGGAAAGAACTCCATAGAACAAGTAGGAGAGATCATCTGCATGGCACACTCCCCTGACCTTCCTGCCGCACTTTAGTATCCTATAGTGATTAAAGTGAGGGGAATCCATGTCGAATCGATAGACATAAGTGGATGAGCTGGCCGCATAGGCCTGACGGGCGAGCAAGGTGCGATGGATATCGTGCCAGAAGTTCTTGATGCTGAGAATGTGAAGACACTCGAAGAGCTCCATGCTAGCTCTGTCAGGATCATCGAAGTAGGACTTCTTCAACCGCCTCACCATCTCCGCCAACTCATCCTTGTCGATGGCATCACGAACCTGTTTGGGAATCAGAGCCTCAAAGGCACTCAGCATATAAAGTGGATCATCCAATGTGGTCCTATACGAGAAGAGTCCTTCGAAAGAGTTGCCACCAATGATTAGGGGAATCTGATTTCCCCAGGCGCTGGACAACTGCTCCTGCTGGGTCTTTGGTATGACGCAATCTTCGCCAACATATGGTTCGATTACCGGGGCAAAGGCCAGAATCTCATAGTCGCGTTGCTCCTCTTGCGTCACTATGGCATTGCAGTAGATGGCCAGCTTGCTAGCTGGAATCTGCTGGAAAAACTCCAGCAGTTCTTTTTCGCTTTCCAAATTACCGGCATAGCCAAGTTCCTTGCCCAATCTTTGGGGCCATTTTCGATCCGGTTGCGTGGCCCAGGCACATAAGGCCGAACCAGATTGCACAATGGCTCGGTGGAAGAGTCCTCTGGCCTGCTCCGTTTGCATGAGGATGTGGGTGGAGGCTCCGCCAGCTGATTCGCCAAACACGGTTATATTCTCGGGATCGCCATTAAAACTGGCTATGTTTTCTTTGACCCAACGTAGTGCTTGGATTTGATCCTTCAGGCCGGCATTGCCGGGAATCTTGAGAGTCTCGTCCTTAAGACTTAGAAAACCCAAGGCACCTACACGATAGTTGATGGTCACCAGAAGGACATCGTGTTTCATGAAGTAATCCGGACCATAGAGCTCTCTCGAGGCTCCACCTATTTGAAAGCCTCCGCCATATATCCAAACCATAACAGGGAGTGTCTTTGGTGTGTCCAGTTTCTTGGCATAGACATTGAGGTATAAGCAATCCTCAGAGCCCTCAGCAGTGTTGGTAATGGAGTTTCTCTGCATGGGTTTGTCCCTCGCATAAGTGCAATCCCTTACCCCCTGCCAAGAGCTGGGAGGTCGAGGAGCGCGAAAACGCAGTTCACCCACAGGAGGCTGGGCAAAGGGGATGCCCTCGAAGGAGAAGTAGATTTCGCCATCGTAGATTGTCTTACGCTGCTGACCCTTCAGTTGGCCATATTTGGTTTCTAGCTCTTTGGTATGACCCGTCCCCAGCCTGTACTGAACAACCTTATGGCCAAGGACCCTGAAAATCAGATGGGAGGATATAATGAGTCATCGCCGAAGTCCGCGTTGCGAACTTTGCACTCACTTGGCACCCAATTTCAGCTTGTCACCAAAGCCCACTCGCAAATCCATTTCGCTAGAGACTCTCGGCTATTTTACTAACCAAATAAATATAGACAAATATAATCTACTTTTGCCGCAATCTCCTCTCTCTCTCTCCGACACTTCCAACGCGCTCGACCGCCAGCCAGAGACTGAAAATATGGTTCTCGCTGCTCCAGTAGATGATAAAATTGTTTAGATAGTCGCCGCACCCTCGAGTGGGGGGCCAATGGGGCGACCATAATAATTACCGCTGTACGGACTCACTCGCTCGTTCAGTGGGTTGTTCGAGTGGCGTCCATATGTGGATCAGTTGATAGCAATGTCATAACATCTACCCAACGTCTGCCCTGCCAATCCCTAATTGAGTTCCATCTATATTTTTGGTAACAAAATTGATAACACTCGATGGGGCGATTTGGCGATTGGACTGAAAATCAGATATTTATGGTAAATACAGCTGTACAGAGATTAAGGCGTTTATTTAACCGAAAAGGTTAATGTAAGGTGTTGATTATGGGGTGTCTTAGTGTTTATTAAGGTTAAGGTTTATGAGGCGATTAGCATAAGATGAGTTTAAGGGGGCAAGCTTAATTTAAATTAAAAATTATATTCTTTTAAAGCAAACTGTTTGGATATTTTGAATCTTTTTTTATAAGTTTTTGGGGTTTAATACTGTGGAAGGTTAGTGTTTTGTTTAACTAAGGAAGTAAATATTTTAATAAGAAGATAATTTTTATAGGCAAGTTCACCTTAGTATTGAAATTACATAGAAATAAGTGTCTCTTAACGTTATGGCTTGAACCTATTAAGATAAAAGAAAAATTAAGTAACTAGATAGTTACAAAATAGTTTTTAAATAAAAGATTGGGGAATAATGAATACAATTCTAGTGTCACAATTTTCACTAGCTCTATATACCCTTGTAAAAAGAAAATACCGCGTGCTAAAAAAAGCCGTTTATGCTGAGTCATAGTTAGTAGCGAATCCAGTTTAACTAACATTCAATTCGAATTTCCATTCATTCCAATCATTTTGAGTTATTAATGACACCTAGTTGCTTGTAATAGCTGAATAATAATAATAGATTATTTGTTCAACTTTAAGTTTACTAATCATTTTCCTCAATGATCCTAAGGAAAGTTGGTTACCTTATGCCAGTGCCAACTTTGGGTAGTCCAACTAATGCCATAAGTATCTACAATTAGTTCTTTTTCATTCTTACATACGCAAAGTGTAGAATTTAAGTGTGGAAAATGGGTGAAAGGGCAATGAAAACGTGGCTGTAATTAATTAAGCATTACAATGCTTCTTAGACTCGTTGCCTTTGCATGCTGGCAGCTCGAGCCTTGGCAATTCACTCTTTACATTTGCGGCAAACAAAGATGACGAAGGCGACGATGACTTAAGAGGCTGCCAGTGGGTGGCTGGGTGAAAGGTGGGTGTGGCAGTCGGTTTCCTTGGTGACGAGCACAATCCAGAACAAGAGTCTCCTGCGGCTTAAGTCTCTTACTCTCTCTCTCTCTCTATCTACCTCTCTTTGTCAGTCTATATGTCTGGTCGCCTTGGTTGGCCTCTGCTCCTGTTCTTTGACGTTGTTTGTGCATTAGTTAATGTGATTATTTCACACTTCGTCTGCTTTCAACTAACATTTAATTTGGCTCCAGCTCAGTCGAACTGGCTTAGCATCGCCTCAGCTCCTCTCGCTTCCTTTTCCATCTGGTTTGTTTGCCTACTTTTGTTTATTCTGTATCATTTGTTTGTTTGCCCGCCAGTGTTTGTGTGCGTTTACTTAACTTTTGTTATCACTTTTGACTGCGCTTAGGTTCTTGTCTTAATGTTGCATCTTGCTCTGGGCTTTAAACAGGGAAGTATGTATGTTTGTCTAACTACTTTTAGTGAGATTTAAGTTCTTAAACTATTAGATAAGTTATTACAATTTCATTCATTTAATAAAAGTTAGAAAATGGGTAAAGCTAAAGTTATGAACTAATTAACCCATTTCAACCACATTAAATTTCATTGCAAATTATTAAACCCCCTTACAAACTCGAGTTCCACCTCTAATTTCCTTTTCTTAAAGCCTTTTACTTGTTTTAGCCACCGAATTTGATTTAATCTTGATTCATTCAACCCAGCTCTAAGTCTGTCTGCCTGTCCAATTCAATTTTGTTTGCTATTTCGCCTACATTGTTTCCGTTTTTCCTGTTGCCAGGTGGATTATTGGGTCTCTAAGTGTGTCTGAGTGCATCTCCCCCGCATTCTTGCCCCTTTTAGAAATGCCCCCACGGCCACATTGTGCAGATTCCGTGCTGCACTGTTGGTGTTGCCATCGACTAAATAAATAAACATTGCAATCTATGTTGGAGAGCGTTTGTTTGGCTGTGTTGCTGTTTTCTTATTTGCTCCGCTTTTCAGCTCGGCGCCATTGCAATTGCACACAGGCTACGCATTTGTCTATATCCATCTAAAGTGGGCCCTCCCTTGATTGAACTGATATAGACATAATAAGTATAAATGTTTAAATTAGAAAGAAATAAAGTAGATACTTCATATTTGAGTTCTAACGAAACCACTTACTGCTGAAATAAAATATCTACATAATTAAACTTTTGAACTTTTAAGTTCTATGGCTTTTTACCATTAGAGGGTAAGTTACACCCCCTTTTAGACTGATATTCCAGTTCTTTGAGTTATGGAGATAGTATTCTAAAAGTTTTCCCTCTAAATGTTGCCTAACTTAGTGTGACTTGCGCAAAACAAAAAAGAAAAGTATCTTTGTGGAAAGTTTAAGTTAGAGAATTTGGACTGTAGCTATATATGAACTCCATCCACGAGTTATTCGCTCTTGGCATGACGACCTCCAAGTGCTTGCGTCTGCTTTTGCCGCCTCTTCCCCACTTCGCCTCCTTCATTCCCCGCGTCTTCATCGTCTTTTTCTCTTTGGAGTAGTGTTTACATGAAGTTGGCAGCGCCTACTTGCCAGAGGTGACGACCCCCGACCACTTGCCCCTCGCCTTGTCCTACTTGTCTTTTTTTCGCTACTGTTTTTCCTCATCACTTTTCTTTCTTTTATTTTTTGGTTTTTGCTACTGTTTTTCCTCGACATTTTTCTTGTTGTAGATTTTGCTGGTTTTTGCCTGTGTTCATTTTTCAGGGTTGCCGTCATCAGAGGAATTTCAGGCAATAAAACTAAATTCAGAATAGCGTTGTGTGGGGTCAATTTGGAATTCAATTCAATTAGAAAAGTATGTTTGCTAAAATCCGAAAACCAAAACAAAATCAATCAATTTTGTTTGTCATGCCGAGAGCACTAAAAATGAATCCATCCAATTTCTCTACACTCTTTTTCCATGCTTATAAACTTTATTTGCCTGCAAATCTATATAGCTGTTGCTATTTTTAGAGTGTTTTATTATGGTGGTATTATTAATAATTTGGCTTTGTTTAATTGATGGATATTCTTTTTTAATTACGGCATATTTATTTGCTTATTTATGGCGTGCATCGCAATTATAATAAAGATGAGAATTTATTGGCTTGCGGAATGCTGGAAAATTTGAATTTAAAATTCTGCACTTACATACGCTTGCAAATTGCAATTATTTTTTGTTTGTATTTGTATTGCTATTGTTCAAGCGAACTAGTTCATGAAGCTGTTTTTCCTGTTTGATTTTTATAATTCGATTTCCATTTTAAAATGTAAATTTTTGCTACCATTTTTACACTATTATTGAGAGCATTAAAAACCAAAAATTGTTTTTGGAAAAGTTTAAAAATCGTTGCATACTTTGTTGAGACCAAATTGTTAAAATAAAATGAAAATTAATCGGATTAAAATCTATACTAGTTCAAGTGGCAAATATGACAGATTTGTTGTAAAATTTCATGATATTGTAGCAAACGAATTCCTTTGGGAGATGACATATTAACCGATTGGCTTTTAGTTTAATAGTTTATAGGTAACCGAAGGGCATTGGAATACCACTCTACATACTACATACACTTCCTTAGTTAAAATTGGGAAATTATTATAGTAGTTCATAAAATAAATGTGACTGATAACTCAACTATTTCCTTTAATAAAAGTAACCGTGAACTAAGGCTATTTGCCCTAAGTATTCTAGATTATTTATTTCGAAATGCTTTCCAAGTAATTATCAGCTTTTAAATGGAAATTTTCTGTGATTACCGAACAAGTTCCTTTTGTAATTTTTCAGAAAAATTTCAAAATTTAAAGAAATTAAAAGTTCAACAGATTTCCTTTAGTTTCCCAATCAAACAACAAGCAACTTGTGATAGCTGATAATACTACTTAGTTTCTAAATGAAACGTAACTGATTACCGAACTAGTTCCTCTTAACAAGAAATGACTGATTACCGAACTAGCTCTGCTCTTAAGCTTTTTGCGATGCTTTTGTCTCCCCATTCGCCGCTCCAATTGAATGCGAAATGTGGTTCACTTCGTTTCGCCGCTCCATTTTGGCTTGTCGATTCGTGGTTGTGTGGGTGCGGGTGTAAGGGTGTTTATTTGTGTACGCTAGCGTTTGTGTGTATGTGTGTGTGTGAGCTCCCCATGAAGTCGCCGTCGACGTCGCTGCGACTGCGTTGCTGGTTTTGTTTGTTTGCGTTTGTTTTAGCTGCTTTTCAGTGCTGCCTTTGCCTTTTGCTTTCTGCTTTTTGCCTTTTGCTTTGTTTTTCTTGCGGGCACAAGAACGAGGAGCAACAACAATAATAAAGCGCAGGGCTCTCTATCAGCAAAAGTCGACGCCGGCGTCGCAGCTGGCGCCGCTGCCAACTGTGGACGGCGACAGCGGGCGCTCGATCCGTTCTTGCCGCCGCAGTCGTTGTTTTCATTCGTCGTCGTCGGCCGTCGCTGGCATCATTATACCGTTCCATCGTCGCGCGATTTTCAATCTCAATTCGCAATTGTTTATTGCTCGAAAAGTTTGTATATACATTTGTGTGTGTGCGTTATCAACAAAAATACCTTGTATGTGTGTGTGTGTGTGTGTGCCAAATCAAAATTGATAAATGCACAATATAAAGTGTGACAACAACAAAAGCAAGAGCAGCAGCAACAAATAACAACAGCGAAAAAACAGCAGCCAAAATGATTGTATTAATAATAAAAGCA